TCATCGCCGCCCGAGGAATATCCGCGGGCAGACGCCGACGACGGCGGGCAGTCATACGGGCCAGCCCCTGGCACGGCGGCAGCGGCGACCCCTTCCTCGAGCTCATTTCTCGCCTCGCGCTCCTCGCCCTCCTCTCCTCGGCCCTTTCTCTCCGCTGCGCTGTCTCTCCACGTCGCCTCTCGGCCAGAGCAGCGCGCGCTTCTCGCCCTCCGGAACAAAATGGCCATCGCAAATGCCCCCATCTCACGAACTGCAGTCGCGGGATGCCGTCGCAGGGCACATGAAGCACCACAGCGCGCCCGCGCAAGGGCGACGCGCACATCGCCTCGGCGCAGCCGGCCCCCCCACCGCGGGCGGCGCGGGCTGCGCGGGGGCCCGCGCGCAACTGCGCTTGGATCCGCAGCCGACTCGGCCCCCGCTGACGCCGCCGAATACATGCCAATCGGGTTTCACTGTGTACGGCGTCCGTTGGGCTTGCGATGCACCTTCTCCCGTTCGGCCCCCCGGCCCTTCGTCGCCCGCGCAGCCCTCTGCCCCGCCTCCCCCCTCAGCGCGCGCCTCGATCAGCCGCGCCTCTTCCCGGGCGCGTCGGACATCGGCGGCGGAGCGAGCATAGCTCTCACTGGCGGCGGCGCGATCTGTCTCGGACTCCTCGACGGCGGCGACTGCCTCAGCGGCCGCGCGCGCATTCCGATCTTCCGCTGCCCGAAGCCCCCAGGCCGCTTGCGACGGAGTCGCGCGCTGAGCATCGCCGACCCCCCAGACGACGCGCCCGGCTTCTCCTGCAAAGCGCTTCTACTGAAGTTGCGCATGGCAATCGGACGCAGCAGCTGCCCCCAGCCCGTCGGCAAGCTCCAGCATCTCCTGAGTCGTCGACAAGGCCCGCTCGACCGCCACCGCCACCGCCGGCGCCCCTCAAGAAGCCCCACAGCGTTCAAAATAGCCTCGCGGCCCCGCTCCAGCTGAAGAGCAGCGGCAGCCTGTTGCTGTATCTCTGACTGTCTCTTTCTCTGGCCCCCGTGATCTCGCGCCCCATTCTTTCTTCCCCCCAGCCTCGCGCCGCTCGCCCGCGAGCAAACCAGCGCAGCTATGCGACGCTGAAACGCGGCGTGTCGGGCATGGGAAATTCAGATTTCATGGGCCACAAAGATCCGATCACCCATGACAGACCGGCATCTTACATTGACCTAGCGAGCCTCAGGAATCATTGCACATTGCAACCAAAAGTGAGCACACTTCGCGTCGACGCAAAAGCTGAACGCACTCGACGGACCCGACGGGTTCGACAAGTCCGGCGCCCCCAATCCCCCCGCGGGGAGAGCGGGCCCGCGGGCCAGGCGCCCCAGGCATTATTGCGTGCGAAGATCGATAGTCAGGCTGAACAAAATGCGGGGATGACCCGGGCGAACGGCTGCCCGGGCACGGGAATGCCGTCAGACAACTTCTGCTTAATGAGCGGCGACGTCGCTGAAAGACTGACCGTCTCGCGCCTTTGCTTGCAGGCGGCCCTGACAGGGCTGCCCGCGGGATGGTCCTCCACGATATCCTCGAGACCTCGTTCTAGCGAGCCGTCGGAACGAATCGCAGCCTCCTCGCCATCGGCGAGGGGCACCTGCGCGGGAACCGGGCCATCGGCCAGCGGGGCAGGATAACTGGCGCCACAGGCCCGAACTCCCCCTCCCTGCGGCAGGCGGACACCATCATAGGCGATCGGTCTCGGCGGGGAAATTCCCCTCTGACGACGTGTATTCCACGCCCTGCTCGCCGTCCGAAATGTCGATGGGGGCGTCAGGCCGCCCAGCGATTGGCAGCGGCATCTGCTCGCAGCGCTCGCGCCAGCCGGGCCCCTCGTCGCCGGTGGCCATCGGGGTGTCCGGGCGATGCGCATTTGTCCTCTGTCTTTCGTGCATCATCCACTAAGGAAGAATCATATTTCCCCATATGGTGGCATCGGTCTCGTCGATGCTAGATATTTCGGCAGGTAACCAAGTCTTTTGCCGGTTCTCCGTCAGGGGGGAATTTTCGCGGCCCGAGGAATTTTTTACGTTAGCTCCTCATGATGATCCTCTTCTTGTAGTAGTTCCATGCTCAGATTCAAAGCGATATATGGGAGAGGTACTTATTTGGGCCATGGCTTAGTACGGCGTTGTGCCGTTCAGCTGCGGCTAAGATCGCGCTACTAGGGGGAGGGCCGGCCGCGCGGCGGGCGCGCGCGGCGGGCGAGCCGAACCAGTTTTCAGCGATCGAAGCTAACACAGCTTCGGTACATGTCGATAAATGATGCCAGGGCAAGGAAGGGGTGTGACGAACTCGACTTCATCATCATAACCACCACCACCACTACCAGCATCATCATCAGCAACAACAGCATTATTAGTATCATCATTATAATGTTGATCGTCATCAACATCATCATGGTCACCACCACCATCATCAACAGCATCATAACCAGACTCCTCATCATTATCACAATCGTCAACCTCATCAGCATCAGCATCACCATCAGCATCAGCATCATCAAAAAGATCATCACTATCCTTTTGCCAATCTTCCTCCTCGTACTCCCCCTCCCCTTCCTCTTCATCATCGCCATCATCATCAGCATCATCCGCATCTTCATCATCATCAACATCAGCGCAGTCATAATCATCATCCTCAGCACCAGCATTCGCATCAGCAGCATCAGCATTATCAGCATCATCAGCATCATCCTCATCCTCATCATCTTCCTCCTTCTCGTCCTCTTCCTCCTCCTCCTCCCCATTATCATCCGCATCCTCCTCCGACGACTGCAATCCATTCATTGAGCTCGGATTGACTGAATACCAAGCGAAATACGAAGAGAAGGAGGAGGAAACAAAAAAAAGAGGTTGCCCCCCCTCCCCCCAGCCCGCTGTTTGGGGTTGTTGGGTGTGTAAATGTATATGCAGCTTGCTTCGCGCCTCGATGCTTTCCAGCTTCGTTACGAATACGCACCACATGTCCTGATCCAAGTTACTGACATCGTCCTCTTCCAGAGTGCCGTCTCATTTCCCTTGGTAATCGTATGTTAACTTTCTAAAAAATAACTCTGTCATACTCCGCCGCCGTCTTTCTTTCGCTCAACATTCGTCCCAAAACGCCTTCCTCACATGGATCTGGCGCAGTGCCATCCGTTGCTTCCAATATCGATTTCCATGTCTGTACCGCCTTGCGGTTACCACTGTTGACCTGTGCCAATCCATTGAATAATCGCCCGTTCCATTCACGGAACATTGTCCTGTTCCCGTTGTTTCTATTTCGGCGGCCAAATGGCTTTGGACTCGCGTAGGGTATCTGATGCTCGAATTTGCTTTGCTGGTTCGCTGCGCGGGGTTCGCGTTCGCACTCGCCGTTTCCGTTTCGCGGCTGCTTGTGCTGAGCAACGCCGGGATTCGCCAAACATGTTCATCAATGGTATCGCGTGTCCATTGGGCAATTCCTGGTTACCCTTGCGCTCTTGTTCGTCCAAGTAATTTGTCACTGTGTCGCGGATAGCTTGCAAGGCCGCTTTGACGAACTCATACCCGCTTTGTTTGTTAGCCGTTTGGCAACGAACCACGAAGGTTGTGAGGTTGCACCCGATCAATTCCCGCCTCGTGGTAGGTATCCCGACTCCTGGTATCGCTGCCATCACCTCGCTCCGCGACCATGCAAATTTAGTGAAACGATGGAACAAGGCACTCTTTGTCTGAGAAGGCAGAGTAGTGTGCCACAAGATGTCGTGCCGCGGCAACGCGGAGTTGAGCACTTGAGCCAAACGAAAGCGTTTGCACAGTAACCTGGGGTCCTATACCTAAAGGCCTGTTCGTCCTCCTGCTCCTTCTCCACCTCTTCCTCCTCCTCTTAACCCTGCTCAACTCGATGTATGGCGCCTCAGAACACGAATCGGCACACTGAACAGGTAATCGACTAGGCCGTCTGGCTGACCATGCGTATCCTACTCTTACTGGTCCTGCTCTTTGCAACATGTCTGCGAGCACTGGCCTTCCGCATATGGGCGCCAACCGTGTCTACGAGCAACCGAGCACCGGCAATAATCATGCGGGCACCACAATAGCCTGCGAACACCAAACCGGGACTGTGAGCACGGATGTGCCTGCGAACACCACACCATGTTGTTGCGAAACGGTGGTGCGCGCAAAAGCTGCGACCGCACTTTGCTGAGAGACTTTGCAACAGAACGCACGCGCTGCGGAAGTGCCAAGAGCATAAGGGACAGGGGGCGGGGGTAGGACATAACGCAAAATATGGCCAAGCCTAGGAAACAAACACTGATATATGATGGAATTAGTCGGTCGTTGTATTTCGGTATTTGCAAAATTCTGGCGCACGAGACTACGCGGCGTAGGCGATGATGAGATCTATGGGTTGCACCACCTCTGGCGCACGAAGCGGCGACGAGGCGGCGACAGGCGGGCATCGGGCGGACAGCCGGAAGCGCATGACAGCGCACGAGGCGGCGAAGAGGCTGCGACGAGAGGCCACGGGGCGAAAATCTGGCACACCCAGCCAGCGCACGAGGCAGCGACGAGGCAGCGACGGCCAGCCACAAGGGGGAAAACCCAGCACATCTTTCAGATCGCGTAGCACATTTGCAAGAACCCCTCAGAGTCAACAGTGTTTGGAGGAACGAACTCAATTAAGCCAAGATTCGCCGACTGGCCAACTAATCAGCATTACGCAAGTGGGCTCGCACCAGATGATTCCCTTAACCCATGCTTGTGAGGGTTACCTGAAATGGCAACGCCCAGGGAGGGAGCCCCAGGCCCCCGAAATCGGTGGCGCATCGTGGCCCCGTCGTGGCCCCCCATCGCGGCCCACCATCGTACATCAATATGCTGCAGAGACCTTCTGCCGCAAGATGTATATTGTTCTCATCCTACCTAAGGACCGCATCCCAGAAATAATTTCGAGCACCCGGAAAAGTGTCAAAAGAGTGTCGAAACAGTGTCGGGCGAGTGTCTCCCAGGGCCCGACACGTGAAAACCCTTGAATTTCGGCGCTTGCTTGGGCGCTCGACATTCTTTCTGGTGATCGAGGCTAAAGTAGGTTGGAGTGACATAACGCAAGGTGTCATGCGGTAGCCTCGCTGGAAAAAATGTTGCTGCAGAGACCTTCTGCCGCAAGGTGTCATGCGGTGGAAGAACTGCTCTCTCCGCCGAGGTGCCCTCGTGCGCCCGCCGACCAACGAGGGCCGCGCACTGCGAGCCGCGTGCGTCAAGCGGGCCTCGTCACAGAGCGATACGGACTGGACCACCGGGGGTGACGCGTGGAGATGGCTTCAGCGCAGTGATGTCGTCTGAGCCGCGACCCCCGCCTGCAGGGGGCGCGCGAAGGCTTGTCGGATGCTTGGCCGTCCCCCCCCCCCCCGAGGCCAACCGCGGCTCGAACAGATCGCGGCAGCCCATGTTTCGCCTGCGGAGGCCTTCCAGAAGCGTCCTGTGGAAAAAGTACGCCCCTGGGAAGGGGTCGAGGGATCTGGAGGCCCATGTCCCCGACAACAAATCAGCTCCCTTCACACCGTCCCCCTTTTTGGGGGTCGCACCGCGTCGCCGATGCCTCCACTCGCGGCGGGGGGCCGGCGGATTGGCGCAAGAACCTTTAGAACACGTCGATGTTGGTGTGAGGCCCGGAGCGAGAACGGCGGAACACCCGCTGTATTCGGAGCGCGGCGTGCCGCAGCCTGAACTGGCGCCCGACGCGCAACGCCGCATCGTCTTTCGCGGATGCGTTTGATGCTGACTGCAGCCAGAAAGAGAGTTTCCTCATCAGACGGCGCTCCTCCGCAAGAGCTGGATCAAGGGGGTCGGTGCAGAGGCCAACGAAGCTCTGGCAAACCTCCTGCTTGGACAGTACTCCTGAACAGGGATCCACCACAACTGTGTTTTCGCTCTCGTACTGTTTTCGTTTTCCCTCGCTTTGCCTTCAATCTGGCTTTGCTGCAGAACGAAATCAAAACGAAAACTGCCCACGGAATCGCCAAAACATCATTTAGGCCGAACCCTGCTCCTGAACCATCAACATCCATCAGTTGAAAAGCCTCAGTGGCTTCATCCTCTGTGATCTCCAATGACGATCCTACTGCGCCCTGAATGAAATCCTGGATGCGGAGCACGCCGTGGCCGTCCTGGTCAAGCATCCGGAAGATCTGCTCACAGCGCTTATGAGTATCACCTTTGAGACAGATGCCTCTTGCCATGCAGCTACGCAGGATAGACTCGTAAACATGCTGAAGCACAGAATGCTCATGGAAAATATGGTGGTCCCTCTCTTCTTTGATCGCCACGTCGAACATGTTGTTCAACATGTCTGTATTGTTGACGATGTGGTAGCAATCGGCATCGGGTATGATAGCCTGCTGAGAAATACCAGGTCCAGCCTGCCATTTCAAGAGCCGGTTGTATAAGATATTCATAGCCTGCCACAGCATATGCTGATCGTGATCTTCTAAGCCATTAATGAACGCGTTGAACTCTTTCAAAGAAAGCCTGGATGTGAAGAACATTATGTGTTGCAAGCGCATGCTCTTCCTCAAGTGATCAACTCCGAGGTTGGTTTTGTGCATGAAGCGATAGTAGGATCCACCACCGTGCCCCGAGGCACGAAGTGGAGTGTCCTCAGGTCCCTTACAACCCTCTGTATAAGAATCCCATCAGCCCTCTGGGCGTCGGTGGTCTAGAGAGTTTCCTCTTCCAACCCCCTTCTTCCCCTTCGGGGAGGGGTTTACCCCTCCCCCTATCCCCTCCCCTGGACCTGGACGGAAGGTTCCGCGGGTCGTTGGGGCGTCCAAGATGGCCCAAGACGGCTCCAAGAGGGCCTCAGAGAGCCCAAGATAGCCTTCAAGATGGCTCAAGATAGCGCAAGATGCCTCAAGATGGATCCCAAGCTGCTCCAAGAGGCCTAAAGACCGCACCAAGACGGCCCCAAGTGGCCAAAGAGCTCCCCACGGAGCTCCCCGAGAGACCAAAATCATGTCAAAAAGTATGGAAAAACAATGTGTTTGTCTTTCTCGTGTTTTCGCTTCCGATGGCCTTCACAGGCCTCAAGATGGTTCCAAGATTGCCCAAGACGGCCCCAAGAGAGGCCCACGAGAGCCCCAAGACGGCCCCAAGAGCGCCCAAGAGCGCCCCAAGATCGCCTCACGAGGGGCCCAAGAAGCGATTCGAGGCACTCTAGAGGGGCAGGGCTAATATACGACCCCCCCTTCTTTGATAGATCTCCTCCAACATGGCCCCAAGAGCGCCCCGAAGGCTCCCAAGAGCGGCCCAAGAGCGCCCCAAGAGGGCCCCAAGAGGTCCCAAGAGGCGCCCAAGAGGCCTCGAAGAGGCCCCTAAGAGACCCCCAAGAGGCCACAAGAGGCTCCCCGAAATACGCAAGAGGCCCCTGGGACCGCCAAGCGGCCCCAGAGATGGCCCAAGAGGCCCCCAAGCTCGCCATTGTCCTCCTCCTCCTCCTCCTCCTCCTCCTCCTCCTCCTCCTCCTCCTCCTCCTCTTGTTGTTCCTCCTCCCTCCTCCCTCCTCCCCCTCCCTCTCCTCCTCCTCCTCCTCCTCCTCCTCCTCCTCCTCCTTCTCCTCCTTCTCGTCCTCCACGTCCCCGCCCTCCTCCATCTCCTCCCTCCTCTCCTCCTCCTCTCCTCCTCCCTCCTCTCCTCCTCTCTCCTCCTCCTCCTCCTCCTCCTCCTCCTCCTCCTCCTCCCTCCTCCTCCTCCTCCTCCTCCTCCTCCTCCTCCTCCTCCCCTCCTCTCCTCCCCCTCCTCCTCCTGCTCCTCCTCCTGCTCCTCCTCTTCCTCCTCCCGCTCCGACGACGACGACGACGACGACGCCTACATCCCCCCCCTTTGGGGGCATATGGCGGCTCACCCCGCCCTTTGTTATTCTGCATGCTCCCCCGCTTCCCTAATCACCTCCACTCCCCTGGTACGTGAAGCGTCTGGAATAATGGAACGGGCCACAGCCTGGAGTACCGCACATTGGGGCGTGTTCCCGCATTTCGTTTTTTCGCATGACTGTACCCGATGGCCAGAGGGCCTGAGGCCTGAAAACGAGCCAAGAGAGCACCAAAAGGCCTTCAAGACGATCCAAAAGGGCCCCGGGTCGACCGAAGATCGTTCCAGGGCGCCCACAATAGCATCCACACGGACCAAGAGGCCCCCAAGAGGTCCAACCAGAACTCCAACTCGCCCCCCGAAGAGTTCCGTAGGTTCCTGAAGGATGTTAGCGTTTTCGCATGTGTGTTGCCCCCGACGCTGGATGGGATGGTGGGGATACTGTTTGATCGCACGCCGTCCACAAGTCGCAGCGCACTAGTTACGGCCTAACTTGCGCAAGGGGGGGAAGGAAAGAGAGAGACAACGAGAAGACAGCGAAGGAGAGACAAACAGGAGGCGGGGCTCGCTGCCGCGCAGGGAGAGGCGCCGTCGTCCGGGGATGGGGGCCGCCAGCCGGTGTGCAACGCCAGCATGGCGGGGGGGAATTCAGGTTGAACGACTCCGCGAGCGTGCCGGTAGCCTGTGTAGGATCACCGGCCGACACGCCGTGTCAGCGCACCACGAGGATCCGGCGCCAAAAACCATCGGAAACTCGTCACACGGGTAGCGGGTGCACTCCGCGCGCCGCAGCCGCCAACCAAGTCACATGCAAGCGCTCGAAGGATCGGGGTCTGGATCGCCAGACACCATCGGAGAAAGGTGTCGAGGTCACGTTCCACGAAGCGGGGAACGCAGGCGGACGCGCGCCCACCAGGCTGGGGTCGATCTAGGCAATCGAAGGCCCCGAAGCGCAACATGGAGGCGCCCGGCCGCAAGCGTGACGGACCCCGCTCAGGGAGCGACGGGAACGCTGCCCGCGCGGCAAGGGGCGAACCGAGAGGCCGGCGGACCCCAGGCTGGCGCTGGGAGGCCGCCAGAAAGAGAGGAGCCCAGGCGGCGCCTTCGCGCGGAACAGAAGCCGCTGGGCGGGGGCGCCGCGGCGAAGGGGGCCACGCAGCGAAACGACCCCGACGCGCCTGGTTCCCCGGAGCCAGAGGCGGGGGCAGAGGCGCCGAAGAGGCCCCGCGCGGCCCACGCGGGGCGCGGGGCGCGGGGCGCGGGGGGGCGGCCTGGCGCCAGGGGGCGGGGAGCCACAAGCTAGACCAACGACGAAGACGCACCGGTTGGCGGGACCAGGCGCGAACCGTTAGCCCCAGCCGGGGCGCGTGCCCGACAGCATCGGGCGCGAGGCCAAGGCGGCCCCCGGGGAGGCCGCGGGGAGGGCCAGCGCGGGGATATTTCTGTTGTTCGCGAGCGTCGCGGTCAAACCGCGCGCCGCCCAGAAACAAGGCAGCCGCGCCAAGCTCTCAGGCGTGGGGGTCATGTTTGTCGCAGCCGCAAGCGAAACCGCAGGCGGCGCCAAACGGAAAGGGCGGGCCGCGCGCGAACCGAAATGCCTAGCGCGCCAGCAAACAGAGGCCTAGGCGGCACCTCAGATCACCCGAGGCGGGAGGCGGCGAGGGCTGCAGCTGCCAGGAACCAGGTCCAGGAGCGAGCACATGCAAAGTAGCCAACCAAAGTCGGGGCGCAGCCAAAATGGCGCGGGAGCGGTGCCTGGATGAAGCCAGGAGCGCCATCGCGAAGGACCGCAGATGCCAGGAAGGAGGCGCGGGAATACGCGAAGCGTCGACAATTGCCCCAACAAAAACCCAACCCCATTGGCCCGATCGCCTCCGAGACGGTCAAGATGGTATCCAAGATGCCTCGAAGATGGCCATGATGACATCCGAAAAGCACGAGATAGCCCCGAGATGGCCTCAAATATTGCCCAAAAATGCTTCCAAAACCGCCAAAATTACCCACGAGAGCTCAAGACGGCCCAACAAGCGCCCAGGCCCCCCAAGAGGCCTCCAAGAGGCCCCCCAATAAGGCCCGAAGAGGCCAGAAACAATAATGCTCTTATGGGTTTTTGAAAGGAGTTTGGCATTTGTTCCGAAACGGCCCTCCGACGGCCCAAGACTGCCAAAGAAGCCTCCAAGATGGCCCCGAGATCCCCCCGCGACGGTCGCCCGTCGCTCCGTCTGCGAGGCGCTCAACCGAGTCCACGTACTCTCGGCCGTAGAAGACTGTTGTTTGACACGTCTTCAACGACTCCGCCGCGGCGACGCCCCCCTCTCTCGCGCGCGCCCGAAATTTGGCACGTCCCACCTGCCCCCGCGCCACGCCCTTTCCGCAAGCGACGCTCATGATGCGATTCGCTGCTCGCTTCCCGACCCGATTCGCACTCTCGCCGCGCAGCCGTCGGCCGAGCTTCTCGACCCTCTCGCAACTTCACTTCGCATCATGAAAGGCTGCGGGCAGTCGCTTACTGCAAAGGCCGCGCGCGTACCCTGCCTGGGAGCCCTGCGCCATCTGCGCCACCTTCACGAAAGCGGCGTCGTTGAGCTTATTCTCGCACGCCTGCTTGCGCGTTGAACAGGCCTCCGCGACGGGGAATCAACGCTCCAGCTGCACTTGTGCATTCAAGCGCCGCGCGGACAACATGCACGGGTGCGCGCCGTTCAGGCTTTCGCGAGTCATCGGCCGGTGCAAGCTGTAAGTCCAATAGCGACAGCCAGCTGTCAGCATGTCCAACGCCGTGGCCAGCCCCAGACACACGACGACGGCCGGGTTCGATGAGCTGCGCCGTCCGCAGAAATCTGCCCTGCACAACTTCGGGATATCCTTCCGGCGACGCGTCGGCAAGGGCGCGCGGTCGCCTGTCTCGTCATTCCTTATGTGCACGCGGTGCTGCTTCCTCCCCTAGAGGCACTGCACGTCCTCGCGCAGATGCGCCATCTCCCATGCCCACGCATCGTCGACCGCCTCCACTTCCGTTGCTTCCGGGCAAGCGCGCGAGTCTGGAAAGCGGGCCTGCGCAGGCGGCCGACCTCGAATGCGAACTCTGGCCCCGACTTTTCTGCGCCCCCAAATTCCGCGCTCCCTCCTCCGACAGACGCTTCGCATGCACCTGGCGACACACGCAACTCTTGTACCTCAAATGGTCGCGAACGATATGATTCCTCCGGCCTGCTGCGTTGCCTCGCGCGACTTGAGCGCCTCCAGCGGCGCGCGCTGGCACGAGCGCCACACGAAAGCCTGGCGGCGAACGCAGAGAGAATCCATGGACTTCTGCGCTTCGATCGACACGCGGCATGCATCGACGCGCCCGAACGCGACTCTTCCCGGCGCCGCATTGCCCCCGAAGAGATTACGGCAAGGAGTCTCGCCGTCCGCGCCATTGCAGTTCAAGCAGATGTGACACGTGCGCAGGCAGAACAGGTGACGGAGCGTCGAGCCCACAATGGTACGAAAGCCGACTGCACTAGCAACGGGGCCCCGAGCGAGCATGCTCCGGCGCGACCCCCACGAAGGCACTCTGGCGTTATCCGCACCGATGGAAAGGTCCGCGCGCAGGTCGTCGCCGCCGGGCGCGACGCGCGGCCGATCCCGACCTCCTGGATCGCGACGACGAGCGCGCGACAAGCGCGCCAAGAAGAAATCGCGGCCTACGTCTGGCGAGAAGGTCAAGAAGATGGTAACACCGCGTCAGACGCGCAGAACTTCCGCTTGATATCGCAGAACCCATCGCGCCTCCTGCGACCCTGCCAGGCG